TGGGAGGTCTACTACTACACTGCTGCAAGGGGGGTAAGATAAAAAAAAAGTATAACATTTAATTATAAGGAGCTCACGTGCGATCTTGAAATGACTGTTGATACTTGTTTAAAACAACCAAATTATTTCAATAAGGGTATTATATTCGATCTTTATATTTTTGGCTAGCGTTCTCACTGAATACATTCTTAGTAGAATTAAACTATAAGAAAGATTTCACTACTGTCGATAAATAGGATCTACAGAGCTTTTATACTAATAAAATATATAAATCACGTGTCTATTTCACATTACAGAACCCATAATATGCTAAATAACAAAACCATTGGTTGAATATATAATGATTTCTCTATTCGTACATTTCCCGAACTATCGTATATTAGTTATATCGAACGATACAGAGAGTGAAGTGTCAATTCCAGCATTTTTCTTGTTAGCGTAGACAATAAGAATTGTTCAAAATAAATGAATAAGATTAATCAAGAAAAGACAGAATTAATTTGCAAAAAATATGTATATATATACGAAAAAAGCAATGACTAAATTGACTGAACCCGTATATGGGATATGCAAGCATATCATATGTTTCTACATCCTTTAACTATATAGGAATTTTATAAAAACTGTTTTTGTGTAGTTTTAGCATAAACATGTGTTCCAGAAAGTCGTTGAGACTGCCTTGTTCTAGTCGCTTTGTTCTCTATAGTAGATAATACCTATTTTACCAGTAGCATACAACATTAAGATTGAAAGGATCAGTTTCGGTAATATCCTTTGATAGCCGAGTCGACATGGTCTGAATATTACAGCTGACCAACGCTGTGAAAGAACAAAGGTTACAAAGTGACACTGTAGACTGGACAAAAAAAAACTAGTTTACCTGTTGAATTCAGGTAGGCTTTCTTGATCCAATTCTACTACGAAAACGTCGAGTGAAGATTGTACTTGAAAATCATTGTATTTAAGTTCTACAGAGATCAATCCCAAGAAAGTGCAAGCAGTGGAATTAAGTACAACCTAGTATAAATTCGATTATGATTTTGTCTATGCAAATACATACCCTGTGTTTTCTTTCAGTCTGTGCTTTAATAATGATTGTGTTCATTTTGTCTCGTTATTTCACACACACACTAGGAAACTCAGTTATCATATTCAAAATAATTCTCCTTAATTTTTGAGCGAATCTCTATCGAACTCCTAAGTTGTTGTCATTCAGAACACAACAGCCCCAGCTCTGGTCAAGACCCTTAGCAATTAGAGGACAGAAGCTGGATGTACTACAGGTGGGTGATCCCACCAAAGTTGTCTGTCTTGCAGGTGAAACAATCGGTACCCATGGGTAGAACCATATCAAATAGGATGAGGCATCTTTCAGGATGAAAGTGTTTCCCATATCATTGACAGTAGCTTGCAATAGCTGGGGTTGTGCAGGGCTGTATGACGAGCCATCTCGAGTAACTGGTTACCCTGTAGCTCTGAACCTGGAATAAACTCCCCATTGGGGTGTTATATTTCCTACCAGTGGTTTTCATTCAGAACCAGTGACATTGGCAGTATTTCCTACTGGCACCCATTGGGATTTTGAGAAAGAAAGGAGGACTTTGGTCTAGTACACAGGTACCTGTAAGTAAAGCAAAGCAGATCACCCCTCCCCCAATGTTCAAAGAGACAGCAAGAAAGAACCTATTCCAGTTTCTAAAGCGTTTCAGGATTGGAGGAACTGGCATGAAGGAGCTGACCACCTATGCAGACAATGTGCACCAATTGCACGTGAAGGCATATTCGACAACGGCTCCTGCAGATTGAGAAGATATCCTGGTTGATACGTTCATTGAGGAACTTCCCAATTAACTTTTGTTACAGCACCTGGGAGTGTGGAACATCATCACTCTCCCAGAAGCAGTGTATGTTACAACAGAATTTGAAGTAGTCACCTCCCACCAGCTGTCGGTGAGAATAAAGCCTGTAGTGGCAGCTATAGTAGCAATTCGACTTGTGGATGGTGTGAACCAAATACCTCAACTGTGGTGGGCTACACCCAATCAAAGGGTTAACATTCAGCCATCTCCACCAGAAAGAAAGGTGATACAACACACTGGCCTCTAGTGAGGTGGCTGTGTTATGCTAGTCAACCCATGAGATACATGCCGCAGCACATTCTGTCTCTGGAATATATGCTGCAGCAAGGTCTGCCCATGGGATACACATTGCAGTCATGGCTGATGCTTCTGCCTAGCTATCAATCAGGATAGGAAGAGCAAAGTTTCTACTTCAGATGTGGACTAATGAGACACTTACAAAGAAACTGCCTCTCCTTTGCCATATAGCAAAGATGGCACAGCTATTGGTTCCATCCGAGGGCTCAGAAAATGCTATTTAAATCACTTTGCTGAGCAGCAAAATAGGCAATGGTATCAATACCAGCCATTGATGCAGCAGGTCCAGGGGTGGATGCTGTTGCAAATGCTTTAAAAAACTGATGGTACCCAACTTGAGTGTGGCCAGTAGCTTGGACAAGCACAGCAGACAGCTTGCACCAAAGAGTTTAATGGTCATCCTAACTCCATCAGGGCCAATTGGAGCTAGGTATGAGCTGATAAGGAGACAAAGACAAGAAGTTGAGTACTTGATAGACACAGGAGTGGCAAGGACGCAAGGATCCTAGTAGACCTCGTGATCTTTCAAGGTTTTGTCATCACTTTGTCGAAACGTTGTACATTTGCTGTTATGTTAAACTTATATTAAAGTTTTTCTCTAGGCCGCGTGAAACTTTCTATTGTATCATTACAATATTATTAGATTCGTTATTTGATTAAGCACTTAAAGTATTAATTATATTTTTCTTTAAAGGTACCCAGGTCCTTATTCCCGCACGAGCCAGAGGCCAGGACCCTTTATTTCTTAGGGATCACATTTTCCGCCTTAAACTGTAAAAAATATATGACGTCACATCTTCAGTTTTCTGAATTATTTCTTAAAAAATGTTATTTATATTTTGTATTGGAAGACAAAAGTTTTACATTTGAAAAACAACAACATTTTTTTCATTAATTCCAGAAACGACAATGGTGATAAATTAGAAGGCTCCATTGGTAATAGTTGCACTTAGTAGGCGGAACCCTCAGGGGGCCCCAACTTGTGTTTGGCCCCGAGCCCTACAATACATTAATTAAGCCCTGAAGTTACCCGCAGAATATCGTGATAAATTCCACACACAACAACTAATGATTCAAACACATCAAAAGGATGTTTAATGACAGCTTTTAATTCTAAAATATTTAAAGAAATGTTTTCCCAGATAACCACTAAAAGCTTTCTCAATTTTTATCACCACGACTATTAGTTGTTATAAACACAAACAATATGAATACAGACAGGCGTCTTGTGGCCAGGTGTTCTTACGGAACAAACTGTTTAATCTTCCCGACTTTATCATTATAGAGCATGTAAGCTGTCTAATCCTCACCAGTGTATGCGATATGCAACGCATTCAAAACATCACTTTAAAATATCCATTAAATTATGCGGTTAACAGAGTTTTATGCACTTAAGTCTGTTATACAGAGTTATCTTTGAAAACATATATGGAAACTTTTTAGATTTGGTTGGACAAATTTATTAAAAAATATTTTAAAATACGGGATTAAAAACACACACAGGTACATTATATGTGGCAAAAAGCAAGAAACTGAAAATTTCATTTTCCATTTTAAATCCTTTATTTATGCATTTTCACGATATTGTGGGCTGTAATATTTTATAATTGTATTTTTTGAATTGTTTTAAAAGTAAACATGTTGATTATTTATTGTTGTATTCAAATCTGTGGAAACAGATGGCAGAATCGTCACTTTATTAAAGCTGTTTGTTATCAACATTGCTCTAGCTCTTAATGACGAAAAAC